TGGAGGTAAGATAAGAGAGCTGCGGAGGTATAGAAAACTCTGGGGGGGGGGGGTTTGCAGGGAGGGAGGGAAGGAAGGAGGGTTATTGGTTTGGTTTGTTCTTGCTCTTATCTTGCATTTTTAGGCTGTGAACCACCCTGGGATCTACAGATGAAGGGTGCTATACATATTTAATGAATAACAACAGCCTACTGTAGCTTGATAAAAATCACATCCATCAATGCACTCACTTTTACATCTGCCAAGCATGGGCATTTGACCCCCTAGAACATCTGCCAAGCATGGGCATTTGACCCCCTAGAAGGTTCTCTAGAGTGGAAGGAATTCCTTAGGCTGAAAGGGTTTTCCCTTCCCTGCATTTAGGATACTGGGGGATTTAGAACTCTGAGAACCCCATATTTTGGCTAGAGTAGGCCAAAGATTTGTCTGTGCAACAGTGAAAACACTGCTTTATACTAAAAAATATTTCTTTTTAAAGTATCTGAACACTTCCCAAGTTTCATAGAAGAACCCATTACCAGAGCAGGTAGCTGTCTTATCTTGCTTGCAACTTATTAAAATGTTAAATTATATGGTCACTTTATTCAACCATGCTTCAGCTAATTAACTGGTGCTGTGAAAGGTAATTTTGCATATATTTGAACTCCAGTTGAATTTACTGTGTTTTTAATCTCATCATCATTTAAATTGAACCAACCACGTCACACCAGTCCATGGAATCATAGAATTATAGTGTTGGAATTATATTATTATTATTATTATTATTATTATTATTATTATTATTATTATTATTATACCCCACCCATCTGGCTGGGTTTCCCAAGCCACTCTGGGCAGCTTCCAACAAAATATTAAAATACAATAGTCTGTTAAACATTAAAAGCTTCCCTAAACAGGGCTGCCTTCAGATGTCTACTAAAAGTCTGGTACAGTTGTACCTCAGGTTAAGAACTCACTGGTAATTCGTTCTGGAGGTCTGTTCTTAACCTGAAACTGTTCTTAACCTGAGGTACCACTTTAGCTAATGGGGCCTCCCGCTGCCGCCGTGCCGCCACTATGCAATTTCTGTTCTCATCCTGAAGCAAAGTTCTTAACCCAATGTACTATTTCTGGGTTAGCGGAGTCTGTAACCTGAAGCGTCTGTCATCCGAGGTAGTTGTTGTTCTCTTTGACATCTGGTGGGAGGGCGTTCCACAGGGCGGGTGCCACCACCGAGAAGGCCCTCTGCCTGGTTCCCTGTAACTTGGTGTCTCGCAGTGAGGGAACCGCCAGAAGACCCTCGGCGCTGGACCTCAGCGTCCGGGCTGAACGATGGGGGTGGAGACGCTCCTTCAGGTATACTGGAAGGGACCACAAGGGTCATATAATCCAACCCTGTGTCATGCAGGAACCTCTCTCTCTCTCTCTCTCTCTCTCTCTCTCTCTCTGTGTGTGTGTGTGTGTGTGTGTGTGTGTGACAACTGAGGATCACATTTTATGCATCCGTTGATGTAGGCTCTAGTCCACACAAAAGCTTACGCCTTAATTAAATGTATGAGTCTTCATGTATGCTACAGTGCTTCTTGATCTTTTCATATTCAACAGTAACTTCCAGCCTCTCTTGCTTGAATGCTCATGTCACTCGAAGACAGAAATGTTGTGGGCAGAAATGTTAAAATCACTGCTTTAAAAACTTGTGCTTAAATAGCTTTCACTGTTTCACCCTAGTGAAGTTGAGAGGAACTTTGGCAAACGTTTGCCACCAGTCGCAACTGTAAAAAGTAGCAGACTTCTTCAAATGCCAGTGTGTCAAACACTCAGCAGATGTTGAGAGTCTCCTCCTCACTTTGCCTTTCTAAATGCTTCTGGAACTTGTTTTCTGCACTTTGGCTGCCATCTAGGGGAGAATGATGCAAAACGAAGAGATTATATTTAATGTTATCTAGAAAATCATTGGTTATATATGCCAATGGTGACATATGCTAAAAAGCGGCTACTAAACTGGAGTGTACTCCATTTACTTATCATCACCAAAAGCAGCACAACACTGATGCTGACCTAGAGCCCTGCTGCCTGTTTAATCTGCTTCTGAAGATGATGGCCAAAGGGCACCATATTAAGTCACTATTGTATATCTGGTAATGCCTTCTATTACTTGGTCTTCTTCTCCGATTCAGAAAGAAGTGGCAATCTTTCCACCACATTAGGAGTGCTCTCCTTCTGAACAGAAAGTTGCAGACAAAACTATGGCGTTTCCCAAGCAGAAACAGGGTAACATGCATTTTGGACAAGCTAGATGGCTTAAGGCAATGTTTTTCAACCTTGGTCTCCAGAGGTTATTGGCATACTCCTAGGGATAGAATTTTCTGAACACCTTCTTGTGTTTATCCACAAAGGTATTTTGTTTTTCAATTCTTGTCTCATTCTTCAACCTTGATGAGGTCTCTCTGCCCCACCACCCACCCACCCACCATTTTGGTAAAAATACAGTTCCTGCATATTACGTGCATCATATAATACTGATTATAGAGGAATGATTCCACCACATGCTTATGAAAGGGATACAGGCACTTCATGACAGTGCACTGCCTTAAGAGGCCCCAGGAACCTGTCATTCTTGCAAGATGTTCTCCTTAAACTCTTCTGGTAAATGGAAAACTCTTTTGGGGGGCCTTACACTTGGGAAAGTACTTTGTGTGGCATTGCCTACTCCCTGGGGTTGCCCCTCAGCCTGTTAGTCAATTTCCCAGGGTAGACCCATCTTTCCCCAGGAGCTGTTTAATTTCTGAGCCCAAAGAGTCTGGGGAAATTGTCTTCCTCTTCCCCATCCTCCTCGTCCAGGAAAAGCTCACTTTCCTCCCTGTCTGAACAGATGGATCTTGCCGTCTACTGGGATCAGGGATATCCTGGGCACATGGGTGCTCCCTTCTGGTGCATTTCAACCCTTTCCAATCCCACCCGCCCACTGCCAATGTCCAGACGCCTCCAAGGCTAAAGAAAATGGACACCAGGAGAAAAGGAGAGATCTGTGGAGCCAGGAGAAAACGTGGCAAGGAAAGAGAAGTTAGGAAAGAACAAAGGAATATCCCTTCCAAAATGACATCCCCAGCTTTTCTCTTTTCCCATGCCTGGAGCTGCCAGAAAGAGCAAACTGCAGCGGAGCTGGAAGAAAGTTGAACTGACTAGGGGTTGCCCTGCGCATCAGCTGTACGCTCTCGAAAGTTTTGACTTCCTGCCAGCGGACAAGTGGGTGGTGACAACCCACACACAATATACCCCTCCCTCCACTACAGGAGTGCAGGTGGAAGTCCTTGCAAGGGCTTCTCCTGATGGGGCACATTAGGTAAGTCTTGCCCAGAGGCAAAGGTCTACAGCTGAACACAAGGCTCTTTAATAAACAAATCTATCATCCCAAAATACAGAACTAGTACCATCTAGAGTCTTACCTTATCCACTCTTGAAAAGGACAACTATGGAAGAGCTGAGCAGGAAACAAACCTGGTTTTGAATCTTCACTCCAGAACCCAAATTTCTTACGAACAAACTGGAAATCTTTTCAGCCCTTCCAAAACACTGAAATACCTTGGCAAGAATTTGTTTTGCTATAAATTGTTCAGGGAGGGGTGTTTATTCCAACTGAAAAACCCTGTTGCCTTTTCTAAAGGAGTGATGGGAAACCAGTAGCCCTACAGCATTCATCCCTGGTTGCTGATTCATGACACTCCAGTGATTCATGACACTCCAGAAACAATGCCCAAAGTGCATGTGTACTTTTATAAAATACTTTTTTGAATATGGAAGCAGTGGTAGAAGATATGGTTAATTTTACTCACATGCGCATCTGATGCATAAGCAGCAACTTGCAGACCAGAGGTTGTACATGCAGGGACTTTTCTGTGGTGGCTCCATTTTTGTGGAATGCTCTCCCCACGGAGGCTTGCCTGGCACCTTCTTTACATACCTTCAGGTACTAGGCAAAATCAGTCTGCTAACAGGCCTTTGGCTAAAGCCCTTTAAACTGTGGGGGGCTTTATTACCGTATTTTTCGCTCTATAAGACGCAACAGATCACAAGACGCACCTAGTTTTTGGAGGAGGAAAACAAGAAAAAAAATATTCTGAATCTCAGAAGCCAGAACAGCAAGAGGGATTGCTATGCAGTGAAAGCAGCAATCCCTCTCGCTGTTCTGGCTTCTGGGATAGCTGCACAGCCTGCATTCGCTCCATAAGACGCACACACATTTCCCCTTACTTTTTAGGAGGGAAAAAGTGAGTCTTATAGAGCAAAAAATACGGTACTTTTGCTTGCTACTATGTTATGTATTTTTCTTTTTATATTGTAAACAACCCTGTGATCCTCAGATGAAGGGTGGTATAGAAATTTAATAAAAAATTAAGAATGGTTTTTTGTCTAGAAACTAGTCTTACTTCCTGTATCTAGTATGTTTTCCTCACCAGATCAACAGCATTTGACACATGCTTGTTAGCGCCTTCTTACACAAATTTTTCAACTTCATTGTAATTTTAAAATTGCAAACACTGAAAAACCCACACTAAGTAATCAACATACATCTCAAAAATTACCAAAGGCTCTCTGCATTACTGATTTCAATGTCCGAAAAGCATAACTGTCAAAACTACATCCTGTATAAACTATTCTGAACAGGATAGAAACTTAGAATACAAGGGAGAAGTGGAAACAGGATAGAAACTTATAATACAAGGGAGAAGTGGAAAATAAAAGTTCAGCAAAGGAGGGGAAGGGAAGTCGATATATATGCTTTTGTTGTTGCTAGTTTATTTTTTAATTTTCCTTGTGCTTTTTTACATGTTCCTTTTGAATCACTTGTAAGGATGCAAATAAAAATCCAGTCTGCTTATAGAGCTCAATAAGAACTTTGCAAAAGTCAAGCTGTGGTCTGTTTTCTGCATCTGACCCAGTGCTGAGCTTTTCACAGCTTCAGAACTTGCTTAATCCTGTCATCTGCATAATTATGTCATAACAAAGTGAATACAACTAGATTACACATAAAAGTATTTTAATACACAAAATAGTAAATAAAAGTGGCAAGCTTATTTTAAATAACATCTTTAATTAAAGTTTTTGCAAAGGCAAAATATTAAACTTAAAATAGGTCTTAGTACATCAAAATACTAAGTTTTCTAATTGTATTCCAAGCATGGCCTTTGAAACACATCCTGTACATCCCAGGAAGAGCATCCTTGATCTTCAATTGTACAGATTGAATTTTACAAACATAATAAATATATTTACCCCCTTACACATAACAGTATATGTACAACAGCAGTTGACAATAGTAGCTCAGAACAGCAACTAAGGATATTTTCCACTTCCCTAAATTATTTGGTACTCTAGGCACACAGGAGCAAGTTAATGCATGATGTTACCACATGTGGCTAGCCTGCTTTTATCCTTCCACTAAAAAAACACACCCTTTTGTTCTTTGTTAACATCCAAATCAAGAATTCAAAAAATAAGCAAGTAGTTTTGTCACAGGGGAAAATGCCAAATTTCTGAACATTCCTGACCTACTTTAAAAACGGAGAAAACAAACAACCAATATTCTAATATCTTCCAAAAATGGAAACTTAACTCTTAAATTACAACTGATATAGCTCATTTCAACTCAAGGTCTGCTATCTTGAATACAATGAACCAAACTAATTATAATTTGTTAGGTTTGGGGATTGTTCCCCACCTCCATAAAACAAAGCCAAAAGAGACTTTTTTTTTTAAAGCAGAAGAGCAGGGATTTGTGAACAAGTGAAAAGTTATTTCTTTCCTCTCTCTTGCACTGGAACTACAGAGTTTTCACTCAGCAGTAATAACATGGGGACATTGTTGCTGTTTGATGTGAACAGACCAAAAATGAAAACCCAAAGGTGCTAACACTATTTTTAATATGACATTTCTACAAATCTGGATATATCACACGTGTTGCATGTTCTTTGCTTTTTCTAGCAACTGTTCTTCAATTACAAGTTTCATCCCCTTGAAAAAGACAGCTAGCACAATATTTGTATTTGTGAAATCATGATCCATTTCCAGGGAGATGACCAATGACAAAAAGCAGGTTATGATATAGGTTGGAGAAAGGGAGATGGAAACTCTGGTTGCCACTAGGCAGCTGGAGCAGGGAGGGGGACACACCTTACACATTAAATTTAAATAGTCCAATATAAAGTTCTTTGTGACAGTATCTAAAACCTCCTTAAAAGTCCATCTTTAATGTAGACGTTTCAAATGATTGCACATACAAGAAAGCTGGTAAGATTAGACTTGGTGTTTGTTACAACTGAAACTCTGTAGGACATCTACAACCAAAGGAATCCAACGGTCCTACATATCACATCAATCAATGCAAAGCAGGAATGCCTGAAGATTGCAAAGGCACAAGACTCTCACCTTTGCGTAATCACTCTGTAAATCTCCCATTGCCCTGATCAAAACATTTAGAAGTTGCTTTCTCTATATCCCTGCCAAGGTGCTCCTGTTCTCTGTGCAAATCTAAACATAAGCCCTTCTTGCAAACCGTTAATTGCTTCAGAAGCAAAGATACTGAATAGAAACAAATTCCAAGTCTAAGGGGGGGGGGGGGAATCAAGTGACAAAAAGCTTAAAGACTAACCATGGGGACCCCTTGCCCTCCCAAAAGGAATGATGATTTTCAATGGAAACCTAACAAAAAGGTCTGCTCAATTACATTGTTAAAACCATGATTAAAATTCAAGTACAACAATAAGTGTAAGCAAACTAAATTCTTACAGCAAGCTGCTACAATAAAATGAAATTAAAAACACACTTTTTGATTTTAAAAAGGAACACTTGATGGAGCAAGTAAGAGCACAAGTTTGGTATGTGACTGGCTTTCAGAAGAACTTCACAGGTACTTGTTAACACCCTCACCAACCAAAGCATACCCACAATTAACTTGCCTGCTTCCATATAGGCCTATCTGTAGGTCACTTTTAAAGCTGTGGTATCCTTTAAAATAAATAAAAGGCTAAAGACAAGCAGCTGTTCAGTGCCCATGATGTACACAATGCAAAGTCACCTGTACAGTATCTGGGTTCCAGTAATGAATAGTAAATGGTAGCCTATTGCAGCCTATTTGTTTCACAGTGCAATATTTCTGATTGGTCTGAAGCCTGTATTAAATCATACTTAAAAACTAGGATATACTGTGAGTGGGCCATAAGATACAGAAGGATGCAAGGAAAATGGCAATTGATCTCAATATAGTCACAATCTTGGCATGTTAAGTAGTGGCATATATTATTTTAAACCTACATTGTTTTACACAGTGGGAATAAAGTACTTACACGCACCTTCAAGTTCAGAGCTAAAACTGCACCCAGTGATGCAGGTTTAATAGGCAATATATATTGTATCAGAAAGTGGGAGGAAATGTTTACATTTAAAAACTCTTGATGCTTTATGAATGTCACTATACAACAGTACTGACAAATTTGGCTAAACTTTAGCAACATCCTGGGTGCAGAAAGACCTAACTGCTTATTGCATGGATTTTCTGTAAGCAGGAACAACTGCATCAAAATGCAAAGAAGACAGTTGTGAAGAGAAGAGGAAGGAACTAATACATAGTGCTGATTAAACACAGTGGCCATTTTAATAGAAAAACATTTTTTATAAGTTTCCTTTTTCATACAAACACAAGCACTGAAAGAAGGGCAAGGGGGTAATCTGCTCTTCACTGTTTTTCAGGTGACTAGCATCCTCCAGATCTTAGCACAGGAAATCTGGAAGTCCATGTCTTCCATTATCTGGCCTGAACTTCAACCCCACCATATTGCAAAGAGGCCCTGCATTTCTGAAAGTCTAATTTCCAAAGACCACTGCCACAATCACAGAAAAAAACAGCCTCAACAGCAACTTTCTGCTATTTATTGAGGAACTGATTAATTGAGCAATTACTGCTTGCTCAATTATCAGAGCTAGGGTGATTTTGTTCACTATATTTTTCAGTATTACTGAAATGAAAGTGGAAGCTCTTTCAATGCTGTAGATAGACCCTTTCCCAAAGTACATACTCACTTGCAACCTGATTTCATAACCGGCAGTGCACACTCACTTGGCAATGGGAATACACATTAAGTTTAGGTTAACCAGTGAAATCATATTTTTAAAGACTGATTTCTGACAAGCAATAATTCAGCACATAGCAGACTAGATTTGCTCAATCTTTAAAGACCTTTCGAAAGAGCAGGAAGACCGAGACATTAAAAGCTTCCATCTGTAGACCCTTTAAAATACAACATCGCATTAAATGAAAGATTCAGAATTATTAAATTTAAAATACAAATGAGGATTTTGGTACCAGGATCAAAATTTATATAAAAGGCCTAAAACTGTAGATAAAATTATTATGCATGACCCAGCACAAGGGCTTTAAAAATAGTTTTACTCATACAAGGTAATTATTAGAACTCAATGCTTCAGTCCTTACTGTTTGGTTAGAAACCTCCACACAAGTTTAAGCAAGATTCTCACCAACCCCACTCCTAGAAAGAATGGGTCAGCACAATTTATACACAAGACACACTAAGCTTTTCCCATAGTATTGTTACCAAAAAAGAAGAGTTCCTTCAAATCAGTGTATGGGGAGATTAAGCCTCACATGCTAGTTACCTTTATCTATAGGAAGAAGTGGTTAATTAAGGTATTAATACAAAACCAGCTTTCAGGCATAGCTAGCTGCACCAATGCCTCAGCTTTCCCATTTGAAGTAGTGTCAACGTTGCCATGCTATTTCTTTGTTCTAGCAGTCTCGGTTCTACTGTTCTTTTCCGATGCGCAGATATAGATTTCTGTTGAAGTGTTATGTCCAAGAATCAAAATCTCCTGCTTTTGCTTTGAGAGTTTGTTTTGTGTAAGGAACTTCACCATTCTGCATCTCCAATAGCTTTGGAAAATACATAATCTCTTCCATTAAGATTCATGATTCCATCTTTGAGGTGAAACTTCCACTTGTTCTTACTTCTATGAATCTGTTGAAGGAGGGAAGCCAAAGTTGAAGAGAAACATCCCAAGCTTAAAATACTACATTTGTTAACAAAAACCTCCCACCCAAATCTGCTCTGGAGGGATGGATAAACTGCCCAAAAGAGCATGGGAAGGGTAGCTGGAGGTAGAAGGGATCTCAGAAAAAAATAGCTCTTCCCCTTCCACAGGAGCTTCCAGACAGATATTATGTCCACTTTGAGGGAAGCTCAAACCAGGTTCCTTCTGGCTCTCAATCTCTGGTCTTTCATGTACGAGAAACCCCCTAAGATAAGGGGTTTATGCTGCTCACAGGTGTGTGAACTGCTTTATACACATTCCCTCCACTAACCCTAGTAAGAAGGGTTTCATCAGAGTGATGCTCTGAAACCACTCTAGGAAGTATGGCAAGAGGGAAGCAGCCATGCTTCCTGGAGTAACTTCAAATCAACATGACACCGTATTGTATCACATTGCCCTAAAGCCCTTCTAAGATGCATAGTCAGAGGGAATAGGCACAGAGGGGCTCACACACTGTTGTATGCAGCGTAAGATCCCTTTTTTAAACCAAGGGGAGAGAACCTGGGCGCAACAAAAGCAGCTCTTTGTGCCTCACTGTTTGGGCTCTTGGGACTCTCATAGGCCATGCCCCCTCCCCAAACCACATTCCACATCAGCCCTGCACCCTATTTGAGTGGATGGAATGTATCTCTGAACTGTGATCAACACCTCTTATTTGGATAGAGGATGCAGACAGAGGCGTCCATATGTGTGTATGCAAGTGAGTGTATGTGTGAGAACACCTCTGACTTTTGCTTGGCTGGTATGTAGACCACTGCAAAGAGATAAGCATCATATCCATTGCGCCACACAATGGATTTTCCTTGTGTCCCATTTGCTGAAGCCATACAGCCTGTAGAAGGTTGCCAATAAGGCAATGCAGCCCTCAGGCTGAAAAAGATTCCCTATCTCCATATTATGAATACTTCTAATAAACTTTTACAAGCTCATGTAAAATTAACTGGAGACATGTTTTAAAGGTTTAAATAAATGATTCTAACTGCTTAAATTTACTAAGAATTGCAGCTCTAAATTGTCAGCAAACTGTACTAGGAAAGTGAGGTTTTTACCACTATTAATACAAACATAAAAAATACATATTCTCTCAAGTATATGGTTTTTTCAGAACGCAATGCAGGTTTTAGGAATCATATTTGTCAGATTTACCTTGTCATACTGGCACACAACAACATTCTCAGTATCAAATAATTCCTGCCCTTCTTCATCACTCACATCATCTTCGCTATTCAGAGGCTCCTAGAAAATATTTAAGTATTCAGATGACCCAATTCATTAAACATTACACATTTATATAGAAGTCCTACACAATGAAGACACTACTGTTTTAAAATATACATATGTGCATATTACCTAGTCATGCATGTTCTTTAACTGACAAAAGCTCACCACTTTGAGCTCCCGCCCCCAACCTTTCAAACCCATTTATCTAATAAGAGCAGATTTTTTTCCTATCCTACAACCAACTCAGCTAGAATTAACACATTAATGATATCTATATGTGCTGGGAAAGTCTAATCGAAGCAGACACATCAAAATTTACCTCCTCAACTTGGCCATCTTCGCCTCCATCCTTTTCTTTGTCCTCCTCTTCATCATCATCATAATCTTCCTCTTCTTCCTCCTCCTCTTCAGATGATGTGTCACCCGCTCCATCTACCTGTAGCACCAAAGGTGCCTGTGGCTGTGCTGTTTGCTGCTGAGGTTGCTGCTGACCTGCTGCAGGAATCTGTGCTTGTGTTGCTGTGGGTGCAGCCACTGTTGTAGGTATTACCTGGGTTTTGTTTCCTGTAAATAAGATCTGCTGGGGTTGGATAATCACTCCCGTTTGCTGTGAGATACCTCCAGGAATAGGAGCCAAAACCTAAGCAAAAATAATTAAAACAAAAGCTATTGTATCACAGCTATAATTCCTACTTAAGTCTCAGTTTTTGTTTCTGTAATAAAACAAGCAAGACAATCTACTTCTGTTTCTTGCAAACCTTGCATATGAATATTTATGTTCAATAATTATTGAGGAAATAATTATTAAGAACTTGGCATTTACTAAAATATAGCCTACTTTGATTAACAGCTAGCATTAGACACTGCTTAGTCCTTTTTAGCTGCTGCCACCTCATGAAGCAAAAGAATGGAGACAAACTTGAGTCCTCCTTCCCTTCCACTATCTTCCTCCAGTGCAACAGAGGGAGGACTCAAGTTTGTCTCCATTGTTTTGCTTCATAAGGTGGCAGCAGCTAAAAAAGGACTCAGCAGTATCTAATGCATCTTCATAAGTAGCAATGGATTCTCTAGTCAGGATGCCTCATATTTGTTTAGACTGTTCAAATCCATGTTGGCCTCTTTCCTCAAACACAAAGCAGATGGGTAAGACAATAAGGGATTGTACTGAAGCCGTTTCCAAAAAGAGCTGCCCCTAATCCTGTTTGATTTCATTATGCTGATGTGTTATAGAAGAAAGCAACGTGCTAGCTTTATTATGAATACATAAAACTAGTTCAGTAGATAAACACCATTCATTTCTTCATCTACAAGGTGTCAGCAGTGTTTAATCTTTTAAGTGAGTCATTGTTTAACTTTACTGAAATCAATTATGCCACAGTCACAACAAAAACAATGTTTGCTCTGTCCCTAATTATAAATACTTCTTCTCACACCCATCTCCTTTCCCTTAACTCTCCCATTTTTGTGCTAACATGATACCTGCAAAGTGACCTGGAAGATTCCCCTTAGTTAACCAAACAATCTTACTTGCTGAATAACAGGAGACTGTACCCCACCAGGTTGCATCTGTGGTATAACCTGTTGCTGTAGAACCACTTGCTGCTGTGGTTGAATGATGTACTGAGCTCCATTGGCAGTTCTAACCACCTGTAGGATTTGGCCTGTAACAAAATGAGTCCATTTGAATATCTCACTTAACTTGTGGAACATTCTCTTGACCCAAGAGCCAATCATGCAATGAACTGACACACACACATGAACCAAAGCATTTTTACAAAGGAAACCAATAATGTTACACTGGGAAAATTCTCAACTCAATGACATGTCTATTGATACCCTACAAGTTTACTGTTTAGCCATGTCAGTTTTGCATCATGTGAGCTGCCTTGCTGAATCAGACCAAGAGTTCATCTAACCTTACATTTTGTCTGCATTATTAATGAGGACTCTTGGAGGCTCAAAAGCATAGTGTGGTGCATTTGTGGCTGCTCCTACACAATTGCCCCCGCGCTGGCTTGGCACTGAGCACCGAGAGATCTCATTTACTGTTTGGGCAAGCAGAACATGCATCTCTCCTCCTCCTCCTGCAGTTGCCATGCTAACGTGAGTATGCAGCTTAACAAGTTGCTAACCTGCCCTCCCACATGTCTGGTCTATGGTCTTCATGCCCCATGTTCTGATAATGAAGATTGCAGGATTGCCTCCCAAGAAACAGAACAAGTGGTGGTGACATTAGCATGGTGGGTAGTCAGGAGAAGACCATGAGGCAAGTGGTTCCCTTTCCTTCCCCTCCATGTGCTTTGATTTTATGTTTCTTATTCTCCACTTCCAAAATATATAATTTGATACATTTTTTTGTTTGATATTCTAAAGTATAACACTATAGAAATGCATATTGACACATACATGTGAGTGTCTGGAGGCGGTTGGAGGATGGATGGCGGCTAACAGATTGAGGTTGAATCCTGACAAGACAGAAGTACTGTTTTTGGGGGACAGGAGGCGGGCAGGTGTGGAGGATTCCCTGGTCCTGAATGGGGTAACTGTGCCCCTGAAGGACCAGGTGCGCAGCCTGGGAGTCATTTTGGACTCACAGCTGTCCATGGAGGCACAGGTCAAATCTGTGCCCAGGGCAGCTGTTTACCAGCTCCATCTGGTACGTAGGCTGAGACCCTATCTGCCTGCGGACTGTCTCGCCAGAGTGGTGCATGCTCTGGTTATCTCCCGCTTGGACTACTGCAATGCACTCTACGTGGGGCTACCTTTGAAGGTGACTCGGAAACTACAACTAATCCAGAATGCGGCAGCTAGACTGGTGACTGGGGGCGGCCGTCGAGACCATATAACACCGGTCTTGAAAGACCTACATTGGCTCCCAGTACGTTTCCGAGCACAATTCAAAGTGTTGGTGCTGACCTTTAAAGCCCTAAACGGCCTCGGTCCAGTATACCTGAAGGAGCGTCTCCACCCCCATCATTCTGCCCGGACGCTGAGGTCCAGCGCCGAGGGCCTTCTGGCAGTTCCCTCATTGCGAGAAGCAAAGCTACAGGGAACTAGGCAGAGGGCCTTCTCGGTAGTGGCGCCCGCCCTGTGGAACGCCCTTCCAGCAGATGTCAAAGCGATAAACAACTACCTGACATTCAGAAGACATCTTAAGGCAGCCCTGTTCAGGGAAGTTTTTAACGTGTGATATTTTACTGTATTTTTGGTTTTTATGGAAGCCGCCCAGAGTGGCTGGGGAGGCCCAGCCAGATGGGCGGGGTATAAATAATAAATTTATTATTATTATTATTATTATTATTATTATTATTATTATTATTATTATTATTATTATACAGAAACAAACAAACCTGAATTTGTGAGTATCTGCTGAACAGGAGTAACCCCAGCTGGCAAAGCCAAGGTAGCTGCGGTGGCTGCAGCACTCTGAAATAGAAGAAACTAGTTTAGCAGCAAAAATAAATTCTATAATGAAAACACAGATTTAAGACGAAGCGGCACATGGATTTCAATAGCCGATTACGTGTCTCTATATTAGAATAACAACAGCTTTCTTCTTCCACCCACATTTTTAACTGCTTTGAGCACTTCTTAATTTATTAAATTTCTATAACCCTAACCCTTCATCTGAGAATCACAAGGCAGTTTACAATACTCTTGTAAGAGTATGGCTTTTAAGTCAGTTATAGTACTGTTTATTTTATAAATACAAATATTAAACAATTAATTCCCTTTTCTTCCAGTTCACACAATAGGTCTACCCAGAGTGGATCCAGAGTTGCCATTGACTAGAGGAGGAAACTGGGGGTGCCATTTAGCCAGTTATTTCTGCCGTCTCCTAAAAAGCTGCTCTGGAGAATTGAGGGACTCTGGGATAGTGTAGGAGGCAGCACAGGAAGCTGCTGGGGGACCAGGCAAAAAATGCCTCCTTCAACTTCCACCAGGAGGAACCTCCACTAACTCACATCCCTTCCACAGGGAGGAGCCCTGCTGTTCATGAAAAGGGACACAATGGATTCAACCTGTAAAATTCTATAAAAATATTTTCTTGTGAAATAATAATTGACAATCTATTCAGAATTCTGGAAAACAAATCAGACTGCTGCATATAACAGGGACATGAGCTTGTGTTCTGACATAACTCTGAGCCACACCATGGGTTAGCTCTTGAAAGCAGGAGTGGTGGTGGAGTGAAGAGCCCATTATTTCTGCCCTGTGCACCTTCACATTGTGTATTCACCAGTTTATGTTTATCTATGACTTAAAGTGATTATGTAAACCAGGTCCATATTTAGACCTTATATTAAGATTTTTTTCTTGATAAGTGGTACACAATTTATAACCTATATAATACATTTAGCTACTACCATAAGTGTTCTGCTTTTTTAAAAAAGACTAAACATTCAAAACAGTCACTGAAAAAGAGGCATAAGCTTATACAATTCAATGTTATTTTGTACAGTGCGGGTTTAGTTTTTCTTTATGCAGACTATAATTTGGCTTGGTCACAAACAATCTTTCCTAATTGGGTCCTGGCATGCTTGCCTTAAAGATAAACTGCTTAATCTTACCATGCCTGATGCGTTCATGTGCTGTATCAGCTTGGAATCTGGCATAATAACTTGTTGTTGAGGTGCTACAACAAATGAGAAAAAGGTAATTGTCAGGGGTTCAGGAGCAGAGGCAAGGGCAAGGGAGGAAACAGAGAGCGAGGGGGAGGAGGCAGAAGAAAAGATGAGTGATGACGACGACCCGAGATCTCCGAGTCTTTCCAGTGAATCAGAAGATTCACAGAAAGGAGCACCAGTGACCAGGGCAAGGGGGGAGACTAGGGGGACACCCCAGGAAGATAGAGCCAGAGGGGACTCAGAGGAGAGCAGTTGGAAATCGGGACCAGCGTCACCGCCAGAGAGCAGGGAAGAGGAAGGGCGCCAGGGATCAAGCGCTGGCAGCTCACAACAGGAGGGAGGGCACGAGTCAGGAGTGGCCACACCTCCATCGGGGAGCGAAGAAACGGTTAGACGGAAGGTGGAAGGTTGGGCGCGCACGCCAAGTTCAAATGCACAGGAAGGTGGCGCAGTAGGCAGCCCGGAAAGGGAGCCAGGTCCTAAAGCCCGGCGCAAGGAGACAGGAGGGTCCGGGGGGTCAGCGTCAGAAGAGTCCAGGAAGGAAGAGACCCCGGGGGGCAGAGGGACCCAGAGAAGAACAGTCAGGCGGAAAAGGTGGGACAGGGCTAGGATATTAAGTTGGTGTACAGGGGGCGGAGACTCAGACGGAGCTTCGCCGGTCTAGCCATAAGACGTAGAGTTGCACGCAGCAGCTTGAGAATGGAAACTGTAACTCAATAAAGGACTTTTACAAGTGACCGCTGGCTAGCGTGATCCTCTGTGAGCTAGGATCTGGAAGCAGCTCTGACAGTAATCAATGCTTGAATCACCACAGAATACTTTGCCATAGCTTATTATTAACACTATAATCATAGAACAGTGTGTGAGGACTTATATATTGTTCTAGTCCAACCCACTAATGAATGCATGAAATCCAGAACTCAGCATCCAACCAACATCTGCTCAAAGACTTCCAGATAATTCTCCATTTACCATCAATAAGTTATCCTAACAATAAACCACAATCTTTCATATTGTGATTGAATCCCATTAGATCTAATCCTGTCTTCTGGAGAGGTTGAGAACAAGTCTTTGTCCTCTTCTATGAGACAGACCATCAGGTATTTGAAGAATGCAATCATGTCTCCATTGTCTTCTCTTTTCCAGGCTAAACATATCTAGTTCCGTCAATCTTTCCTCAAAGGTGTCATTTCCCATCATGACCATCTTAGTTGCCCTCCTCTAAGCCCATTCTTATTTGCCTATATCCTTTTTAAAGTATTGTGTCCAAAACTGGATACAAAAGCCCAGATGAGATTTCACTAGCACAGAATAAAGTGGAACTATTATATCCTGTGACTTGGAAACTATATTTCTATAAGCTTTTCTGCAGCTGTATCCCTGTTTCATGTTCAGCTTGTGATTGACTACAATTTGGGGAAGCTTTCACATGTACTTACAGCAGAATAAAGTGGAACAAGTCTTGTGACTTGGGATCTCCAATTCTGTACCCGTGCATTTTTACACACCACACACCCCGGAAATATAGAATTTTGCATTTTGTTAATTTAAGTCCGTTTCCTTTCCCTCAAGATAATTTTGAATCTTATTTTAGTCTTCTGAGATGTTAGCTAGCCACAGCAGGTGTGGGTCATCTGCAAATTTCTTAAGAATTCCCTCTACCTCTTCTTGTAAATCACTGATGAAAATATTGAAGCACATTAGAGCCTGGACAGAGCCCTGTACCACACAAAACTTTCTTCCAGTTTTATAAGGAGACATTGATGAGCATTCTCAAAGTATGGTTTTCCAATCAGGTATTTCACCTGAAATCACACTAATCTAGTTTGCATTTAACCAATGTTAACCAAAATATTTGTCATCAATTTTTTTTTAAAAGCCTGATAAATTACACTCACAGCAATCCCACAATCCACTAAACTAGTAACCCAGTTAAAGGAATATTAACCAACAATGTTTCTTCTTCAAATGAGGTTTTCCATATCACATTCTATTTATATTGTGGACACCAACACCAGATACATACCTCAGTAGAAACAATTCCTAACAAACTTAGAAGTCTTGAAAAGGTGTATGGCAATTATCACACTCACTGCAGAAGGTTCAGTTTTACCTCTGTGCTTGCTAAGAGAGGTGAGTTTTTAGTTTAAGTTCATATCCTTTACTATTATATGGAAGAGATCATATCCACTACAATATTCCAAACATTTTAAGCCAAGGACCTAAAATCCTAACAGAGAAAGGAAGAACAGTGATAAGCAGGGTGTGATGAGCCTAACCTATGCTGAATATGAGCACTACTGTTTGGCCAACTTGGTATGAAGGAAGCCATCTTAAAAGTCCAAGACTCCATTTTGTAAAATAGCTTAGCAGTTTGTGTTTTCTTTCTTTAATTATATCTGTTACACAGATTGAATGGTTTGCCACTCCTGCCTCATGATAAGGACACCCCAGGAAGCAAGTTTTATTTGTGGTTTATACTCACAGCCTACTCTTTACCAAATGATCAAAAAGGGTTATAAAAATATTACAATTAAAAAGCAGGTGCAAATTACATTAGAATCATAATGTAAGGAAGTTGTGTATTCTGCTTAGTCTGCCTGTTTGGTTTAAGAGTCTCAATTTAACTGAGTACTAAATTAGATGTGATACCTCCTGGTTTGTTTTACTAATCTGAAAAACATCAGGGCATTTGAGGAGTGTTGAATGTTTTCCTCCATCTAAAATGCACCCCCTCTACCTGAAGCTGCAATTACTTCTGTAAAAGGGGAGGGGAGAAAGATACAGAAACTTCTGTTTTTGTCTAATGCAGATGGGGTTTAGATTTAGCCAATCTTCAAACCTGCCCAGTGTGCCAAAGCAGTAAATCAGAGTGCTGATAACCGTATCTGCTTTGGTCACAATAAAATATTTGTTTGCCTCTCCAGCTCTAATTGGTCCAGGGTGCTGATGGTTTATTCTGTAACAGAAGCCTTACATTTGAAAAAGGCTGAAAAGTCACTTGAAACGAAGATTCTAACTGATGCTGGCATGGAGACACATAGGCTGATGAGAGCCTTTTCAGAGCAAGGGAGGCCATTTGGGACTTTAGGAAGTACACATTTTATTTAACAAACCCTGCTTAATGAAGCCATAGAAGCCAAAAAATGATGAAAGAAACATTCTTAAGTAGTTTTTATATATTGGGTGGTATTTAACTATGCTCTATTCAAAGTAGATCCATTGAAATGAATGATCACAACCAAGTTAGGTCCATTAATATAAATGGGCCCCATTAATATCAATGGGTCTACTCTGAGTAAAACTTGCTCTTTCTCTGTAAGCAAATGTTTAACTGAACAAGTCTTTTGCTTAAGGGATTTAACTAGCTCCCATATTTTGAGCATGCCTAGACTGCTTGATGGCTTTATGTCCAATTCAACCTGGAGGAAGCAGGTAGCTCATTCCCCGACCTATACCACATGATTGCCTCAAGTCAACCAAGTGGCTTACTCTAAGGGCCAGATTTAATGAAGCTGGCACACTAAAAAAAACCCAAACCCAGTGCAATGGGGCTTTCCTCCCTTGCCTCCCCCAAATCTGCTGTCAAGCACAAATTCTTGCACTGATAGGAATGATCAGAAGAGCATGAATTCCCCCATAAGACTTCAGAGTTGCCCATCTCCACTAAAAAATATTGTAATTGCTGGTGGCAGCAATTAAAAATAGCTCTTGCAAGCAGATTAATTGCTGGATGGGCATGTACTGAGTATTTTATGGGATGTGGATGGTGCTGTGGTCTAAACCACCAAGCCTCCTGGGCTTGCCAATCGTAAGGTTGGCAGTTCAAATCTGTGCAACAGGGTGAGCTCCGGTTGTTTTGTACCAACTCCTGCCAGCCTAGCAGTTCGAAAGCATACCAGTGCGAGCAGATAAATAATTACTGCTGCGGCAGGAAGGTAATGGTGTTTCCGTACTGTCTGGCACTTGTCACAGTGGTCTGTACACCAAAAGTGATTTAGTCATTTAATGATGTAGAAAAGCTGTCTGGACAAATGCCGGCTCCCTCAGCCCGAAAGCGGAGGTGAGAGCAGCACCCATAGTCAAACTCCACTGGACTTAACGATCCAGGGGTCCTTTACCTTTACCGAATATTTTATTTTGTGGAAGTCTCCAAACCTGGGGGCATTTCTAGAGAGTGTAAAGCATAAGACATTCATTGTTACTTAGGTGTTGCAAAGAATCTAAACATTAGTCCTTGAGATAGCACTTATGTACCACCTGCACACATTTGAGCAGCAGTACGGATATGTCATATTAGACAGCTGCTATTTCGAGATAATCATCCTAAAAATCAGTAAGATGAAACAATTGTTACTTTCGTCCAGACTAAGGAAATACAGTATTGTTTTAATTTTTTAAAAAATCTGAATTGCCTTACTGGTGTACACGTTTGATTTTTGTAGAAATTCATACTATGAGATAGCGTATGCTAAGCCCAGTCATGTTCTAAATTATTGTGGCACTCGTGGACACCACAGGGCACTGAGACAAACACCTCCAGCACACACAGAGGTCCACCGCCTTCCCAGTTATTTGTTTGGGGAGTAGTAGTGCCTGCATGTTTGGGGTTTATTTGGTAAAGGTATGTGTTTTGTATTATTTGGGGAAGATTTGGCAATTTTTCTTTTGTGAAATGAGTTTTTGGTGCTCCCTTAAATGTACTCTCCTAAATGTTTTCTAAGACTCAAATAGTTTGGTGGTCTGCCCTAGAAACAACCACCTGCAAACACTAGAACAGCTCCTCATACTATGCACCTCATACTTGCAGTCTTCACTTACAGCAGTTCTATTTTTCTAAAAAAAGAGGTGCTGGAACTCACAATGAACACCTCCCTCGTTCTCTTAGAATGGCAATGGCACCCACCTGAGAGGTGCTGGAACTAAGTTCCGGTGAGTTCCGGCTGAAAAAAGCCCCGACATCCAGTAATATTTGAAATTATAGTAAGTAAGTAAGTAAGTAAGTAAGTAAGTAAGTAAGTAAGTAAGTGGAAGGACATTTTATGAGCAACTGACACTTTAAGATGGGGAAATATCAGTCAATTAAGGACAAATGAATCTGCTTTATACCAAGTCAGACCACTGGCCCACTTAGTGTCTACACTGACTGGCAGTAGCTCTCCAGCATTTCAGACAGAGGACGTTCCCAGCCCTACCTGGGGATTGAACTTAGGACCTTCTGCATTCAAACCAGGTGCTTTGCCACTGAGATATGGCTAGTTGTGATACACTGAAGACAACATGTAAATTGAAATGAAGGAATTGAGAACTTGTACTCCTGTTAATTTTTCTTTGTATGAAACATTGCTGTAAATTTACAAAGCCTCAGATCCAGAAAGGAACTCGGTTCTTACCTTGCTGTGTTGCAGGAATAAGGACTTGCTGTGTCTGGGACTGCTGCTGAACTGTTGGCTGTGGCTGTGGGTGATGGTGATGATGAGCATGCTGTTGCTGTTGTTGCTGCTGCTGTTGCTGCTGCTGCTGTTGTTGCTGCTGCTGCTGAACTTGCAGCAAAAGCTGCTGTTCCTCTGAATGAAATCCATCTACAGCCTTGGACTGCAGCAGCTTGTTTTCCCACAGCTGTGTTTATTAAGCAAGATTCACTTAAGGACACTTTTCTTTTTACATACATCAACTATATACTCTCTACATTATTATTACTGATTCAATGTACTCTCTCTTATCTATTCATTTTGAAGGGAGGTGACCCAAAATCCTCTGGAAAATAAAGGGAACCTATATAGTGCTTATGAATTTGGCTCCATTCTGTATTTGAGTCTCCTTTCACTCCTATCCACATTGATAGCATCATCCAGACACACAGTTTCTAAGGGACATCAGCAACATAGTAAAAAAGACATCTATTCTGATGTCATAAACAGCCATTAGAAAATATTCTGCACCAAGCCAATAAAGATAAGATACAAAGCTTGCTCTTTACTGGAAGGAAATATTTTGTTTCCTGGATGAATATTACTAAATGGAATTCCTGGGATATTCTTAAACTTTTTTAAAATTTCATTTCACACATTAGATTGTTCATTTACTGAAAATTTCAACTACAAGAAAATTTCTCTCAGTACAATGGAGGGAAGACAATTTTGATAATGAAAAATGTTCAAAGTATACTATTAATCTTTGCAAAGTCATTAAGCAGCAGTCACATTAAAACCATTATACTTAGATCTTCTTCAAAGAAAGGTGACATAATTATGAAAACCACTATAAAACACTTATATTTAACAGCAGTATTTAAAGCTTTAAAGAGTTGATGTAGAGCAATGGCTACAACTTCCCAGTTCAAATGTTAATCCAGCCTTGAATTTACTAGGTGGCCTTAGTTTAGTTCTCCACCTGCAATTCAGGGGTAGCAGTGTCTTCCATTATGGGGGTGCTCTAAGGAAGAATCTCTGCAAATGTATGCAGAATACTTGGAGTGACATGCTATATAAATATTTACAGAATACAGCCCTTCAAGCTGTGAGTTTTATGCACTGACTGCTACAAGGTTGCAAACAGCAAGTAATTTGTAGTGAACTTACTGTTTTCAGTTCAACAAGAACCTGTTCATCAACACCCTCATCCAGAAAGACCTCTCGGACATCATTAATGACATCTTCAATCACAGACCTATATAGTTTAGGCTGCAAAAAGTCACAGATAATACCAGCTTATTAAATGAGATCTATGCTAGCAATATTTCTAAACACTTCTAGATATATGTTTAAATTACTGAACTACTGTTTCACAGATAATCCTTGTGGATACTTCTTTAATTGTCTCAAAAATTTTATTTTTTTAAAAAAAGTTATTAAACCATCACATCTGTATAACATTCCAGAGAATTTTAGCACTTCTAGCAATAAGACAATTAATGCAGGGCTGGGAAACCTTTGGCCCTCCAGATTGTGTTGGACTACAATTCCAGTAATCCCCAGCCAGTATGGCAAATGATGAGAGATGGTGTGAATTGTAGCCCAACCATTGTAGCCCTGATCTAGTATGTAGTAACCTTGATTCACAATATGTGAATCAAACCAAAGTACTCTGCTCCAATTCAGTCCAGTTCAACTGATGTCAAGTCTGACTAAAGCTTCAATTCACACCATGTGTACTAAAAGTGGCAGCTTTTACAGCACAAATCATATGTAGGTCTAGTTAGATATAAACACCACTGTGCTCACTCGGATTTAACCCAAGGTAGATAGAATCACAACAATGAAACAGTTTAGCAGCACTGAATTCACCGGGGCTATAATGCTGAACACTCAGCTGCTAAACTATGAACTGGAGAAGAACCATTTTTCTCACTGTACCCTGTGCATAGATAGTAATTCATCTATCCTTTGACACATGTAAACATATGTACACACAGGTATTTTTAATACTGCTTTACTATGCAAGTACACAATTCTTGACACACTTCTATTAAGCCCCATTGAGCTCAGACTTGGTTCTTTATAAACATATACAAGATCAGGCAAGAGCTTGTAAATGCTTTAAAAAGCAGAACAACAAACTGTTCTCTATTTCACCGAATATACATTTAAAAAAAAAACAAAAACAGCTAGAAGGACAGAAATGCACCAGCCGCTTTGTCATCAAACAGCCACAGCAAATTGAATTTGAAAGCTGAGAGCGGCAGCTTCTGAACGAGAGAGCGTGAGCTCCTTTCAGCTTGCGCTGTGCAGGCACCTCCCAGCCTGCTTTCCGCAGCTCTCTCCCTATTTAAAGGCTGATGTGGTGTTTAAATGGAGAGGCGGTGACGTGGGGCTGGAAAGCACCTTCCCATCCTGGCAGAGTCTATATTAGAGAGCGGCAATGGCTCTATATAAACAGGGCAGCCACAGGGAGGAGGAACACAAGGAGCAGGGAGAGAGAAAAGCGAGGGGAAGCCATGATGGATCTGAGAGCACAAAATAAGAGCGGCCAAATCTGCAACGGAGCCGCCTGGACCCTGGTTTGTCAGCAGTGGTTTATTGGGATGGGGGGGAGTGTTATTTCCCCCCCCCTTAGTAAATTCAGTTTGTTCTTTTTAAAAAAATGTGAAACGGGGAAATAACGATAAGAGGGGCAGGGTTATTTTGTTGTTGTTTTTCCCTTCGTGTGACTGCTTATTGCAAACCGATGTGGAAAGCGAGAGACTCGGGGAAACTGTGTCGTCTAGTATTAAACCGAGACGGGGAAGCGTAGAAAAGGGAGGCGGGAAAGGAGGAATAGAGGCTTAATCGTTGTATTTGTTACAGCAATGCTAAATAAAAACCTTTTCTGGGGAAACCTCGCACGGGCTTAAAAGAGTGATTTCTTTTTCGCGCACGTCAAAGATATTTCCGAGAAAAGATGGGGGTTGGTGGGAAGAGGAGGAAAGGAGGAAGAGAGACTTCGGTTTTGTTTTCTTCTTCTTCTTCTTCTTCTGCCGGGTTAGGAATTAAAAAGTGCTTTTCAACCTTTGGTCACCGACACACACATACATTTAAATTTTTCCAAAAAATGAACACCCACCCCAACCTCCTCGCTCAGAAAGGGGGGAGAGAGAAAGGCACCCACCACCCGGGCGGGAGAGAAAGAGGCGCCAGGGGAAGCCGCCGCTTCTGTCTGTCTCTCTCTCCCACGCCCTCCGCGGAGGGGGAAGAGCCGCTGAGCGGGAGGCTGCCTCGAGACGCCCGCGGCGCCTCTTCCGCGGTGACCCCCGAAGCAGCGCGCGAGGGAGACGGCGGCTACTCCGAGGGAGACAGAGCGAGCGCGCCTCCTTCCTCCTCCTCTGTGGCTCCGGGCGGAGGCCGAGCGAGGGTCCGCTCCTGGCTCTCTTTCTCTCCCGCCGCCCCCCGCCCATACTACGACTGCTACGACCACCACCACCGCAACAACCGCCTCCCTCTTCTCCACACAAGCCCAGCGGCCCTCCCGCCTCCCCGCCTCGAGGCTCCCCCTTGCGTCCTTACCACGGGGTTTGTATTAGCCGAGCTCGCCATGTCCCGCGCCAACCCCCCGGGCAGGACACCGCACACCCCCAACGAGGCAGCGGCTGAGGCAAGAGCAGGCAGGCGGGCGGGCGGCGGCTGAGGCACCTTCAAGCACTTCTCTCCCTCCCCCCACCCCCCTCGCCTCTCTCTTAAGGGAAGACCGCGAGCTGAGGTAAACTGCTGGCTCCTCTTCTCCTCCCCCCCCTTACTTCGCGCGCTCTCCGTCTTCCCCTCCCTCCCCCCGGTCTCGCCTCAGGGGCTTCCCCTCGCCCTCCGTTCTCTTTCTCTCCCCCTCGCCCGCCGCTGACGGGGAAAGCGCGTTCCGAGGCCGCCCTCCCCCCGCGGCCCGGCCTTACACGGCGGCCCTTGGGCTGCAGCCGCCAGCCGCCTGCTCTGCTCGCTTCGCCCCTTTATATAGCGAGTGCCGAGCAGCTGCGCGAGCGGCCAGAGAAAGGGGGAGGCCGGGGAAGAGAAGGGAGGGGGAGAACGGCGACGTCCCGCGAGAAGGAGCGAGACGCCGCCGTCCTCCTCTTCACGACTTCCGCTTTTCTGACGCCATGACACCGATACTGAGGCGGAAGTCCGAAGTGGGAGCCGAACCGCCATGGCGGTTTCCTTGGCTTTTCCGCTGCTCGCGACGCGCGGCTCTTTCTGCCCGAAATTTGAGCCGCCTTTATGCCCGACGTGTAAAGAATAGGCTTAGCCATAGAGACGGGCGACGATGGCTTTCGATGTTTTACCTGAAGTTTAGCGACTCTACATCTATTCCTATCTCTATGGGTTGGGGAGACAAGTTTCCCATCGAGTGCGTTACCAGTTTCCATGTGCGAGGCGGGAAAACGTAATATAAACTATGCTGCCTCTCTAGGCACACATCTCTATAGTATCGTGTCCCTTTTGGGGTGGAGGGTGGGGGAGGCGTTGCCTGTCCTGTTCTATTAGGCACCGGAAGCGCCGATGTAAGCTTCGTGGAGCTTGTCATCCTTGCCCCCGCCACTCAAGATTATGGAGGAGGAGGAGGAGGTGTATATGGCGGGGAGCTGGTAATGCTGACCTGTTTCTCATCAGCTCTTCTGTGTGAATCTGAGTTGGCGCCTCCACCCGTTTGAGCATTATCTGAGATGTGCTCAACAAGCCAGTATTTTAGTGACCGGACTGGTAAAACGCGCACTGCAAGTTAGCAGGAACTTCCCCGGTATTGGAAAGACAGTAAACCCCATTTGTCATTCAAAGCGGCGAGCGAATTCATAATTTATTTGTCACGTCTATAGCCCACGTTTCCTCCAAAGGGCACAAGGTTGCCCACACGGTTCTCTTCTCCTTCCAGTTTTTATCCTCACAACAACACTCTTGAGGTAGGTCAGGCTGAGAGACACTGACTGCCTAGGGAGCTTCATAGAATAATTGTTGAGCTGGAAAGGGATCCTGAGGATCATCTAGTCCAACCCCCTGCAATGCAGGAATATGCAGCTGTCCCATACAGGGATCAAACCTGCAAACACCACCACACTCTAACCAACTGAGCTATCTAGTGGGCCATGATAGCAGGGATTTGGACCAGCACTACCCACTATGCCACACTGGCTCTAGGCTGCAGCCCTAATGCTCTTACCTGGGGATAAGCCCCATTGAATTAAGTAGGGTTTACTTCTGAGTAGACATGGTTAGGATTGCACTGCTAAACTTAAGAACTGGTTAGAAAATGTCATGTCTCTATAGCAGCAAAGAGACAGCCCAATCCTATACACATATATACAAATATTAAGCCCCGTTGAGTTCACTATTTACTCCCAGAAGACTGGGTATAGGATTGCAGCCTTGTTGCAAGCCATTTCATTTTGTAGTCACTTAATGGGAATTTATTTTATTTATAAGATTTATAAACCACTTGTCAAGTGGCATATCAATAAAATGGTAGATAAAACAGGTAGATTCCACAGAACTATTAAAATACAAATATACATAAAATAATTTTCATTAAAACACAGACAAAATAAGGAAGACTTTTAAAACAAACATAGGTAGCTAAATTATATTTTTTGGTAGGCTTGCCGAAATAAAAAGTTAATCAGCAGGTACCGTAGCTAAAACATCATAGCAAGTGGGCCTGTGTCAATAGGCACTGAGGTCAGAGTGAGGAAGTAATATAGTGAAAAATAAGTGCCTTGCTAAGGGATTAATTCATTGAACAACTAAAATGAGTATCAACATTTCTCTGCTTTTTCCACAATGAAGCCAATCTGCTTTGTCAATTAAATTCAATGTGATTTACTCACAGGTAAGTGTGTATTGTGAAACTTCCAACCTGAAACTGGGACATTTTATTGACGATACTGCCTGTAATTCACCCCCATCATGCAGTTTTAACACTTGTGTGGCATTTATAGTTATTTGTAGTTAATAATTTCCTGGAGTCTGGCCAGATACTCTCATTATTATGAAGGCTATGAACAAGGGGCTATAGCTGTAGAGGGGTGGGGACAAATGTGGGTTTTTTTTCCTGGCAAGCAACCCATAGCAAAAGCCCAATAAGAAAAGCCTGCTGGATCAGGTCAATGGCCCATCTAGTCCAGCACCCTGTTCTCACATATTCCTATGGGGAGTTTGAAAACAGGACCCGAGATCAACAGGACTCTCCCTACTTGTGATTCTCAGCAACTAGCATTCAGACGTAGAACATAGCCAGGTGCTGTGGCTCGTAGCCACTGACAGATTTATCTTCTCATAGGGGGGTTGCACCAGCCCCTTGATCATTTTGGTTGCCCTTTTTTAAATGTATTCCAGCTCTACAATAATTCTTTTTGAGGTTAGGTGACTCAAACTCTAAATGGTATTTATGAACAAGTTAAAAAGTACAGGTTCCAATACAAACTCTTGGGGGGCTCAATTTTCTGTCCATTCCTAGTCTGCTTCCAGTTTTTTTAACCAGTTGCCAGTCCATAAGAGGACCTCTCTTATTCCACGAGTGCTAAGCTTATACACTAAGCTTACATCTGTGTTGAGGTACTTGTCAAAAGCTTTTGGAAAGTATAAGTACACAGTTTCAGGTGGATTGCCTCTATAATTCTATATCCTTGTTGACACACTCAACTCTTAATAGGTTAGTGAGACATCACTTACCCATTCGGAAGTCATGCTGGTTCCACTTTATCAAGACTTGTTCTCCTGTATCTTTGGTGATTTTATTCTTGATAATGCTTTCCACCCATTTCCCCTCATTTCCAGGATGCCTTTTAAAAAATTGGTGTTTAGGCATCAAGGCTAATTTCAAGGTCAAGTTACATATTTTCTTAGCTAGTCAACATTTTCACGTTTCAGTTCTTTAAGAACTTTTGCATGGATGCTGTCTGGACCTGGCAAATTTATGAGAATAGCTGAATTTGTAACATGTGATATTTATACACAGCTGCAAATGGTTCTCGTAAATGCAAAGCAAGTTTCAAGTCACGGCTTTCTGAAAGGTTGCTGGCCCAAACTTGACTTCAGTTGATTGTGCTGTGTGCCTATATATATTTCTAAAGTACTGTTTCTGGAGTTTCACAAATTACGTGCAGGTTTTGCAGATACTTCTGGTTTCACATTTGCTGAAGCATGCAGATACACACAGAACGCTAACCACCAGCTGACAGTATGCGATATGCTTTAGTTGTGCTCATACATGCTTACAATCAGTTTGCAAACTTTCCCTTTAGCCTCATGCATCACCTTAAAGGATTCCCACAGAAATTCCCACCTTTTTGAATACAAGGGGCAATAAATAGGCTGACCGAAGACACTGGATGCTGAGCCATTGGCTTCTCGGGTCTATTTGTCCTCTGAGTGAAAAAAAAGCTAAACCAGGACTGCACCACTCAGAACATTATCAGGGCCAGTTTTACATTTTAATTAACTTCAATTAACATTTTTTTAAGAGGAAGCCTAGAGGAAGACTCTAAAATAGGCCAGTGAATACTGGGCAAACTCAGTGGGTATGGAATGGTGGTTGACTGTTAGGTGTAAAAATAATTATGTATAACCAGGAAAGGGGAAATGGAACTGAGTATCCTGGAACAGGAACATTTCACGCTGCAATCTTCGGTTGCAGGTTCACTTGTTCCAAATTCCATTTTGCCGCACATAGAATCATAGAATTGTAGAATTGGAAGGGACCACGAGGGTCATCTAGTCCAACTCCCTGCAATGCAGGAATCTTTTGCCCAACATGGGGCTCAAACCCACAACTCTGAGATTAAGAGTCTTATGCTCTACCAACTGAGCTATCCCAAACATGATGAGAAGAGTACACTACTTGGAAGTCTTCCATCACCTTAACAGTTTTATTTTTAGCTCTCTAACCCAAATCAGTATTTGGGTAATGTCAGCAGAAGAAACAGACAAACTGTTTCAGACGGCCCTGGTCATAATGATATCTCGGGGCTGCCCCTCCCCTTACTGTCTGTATCTCTATCCACAGGCCCATGGGTTGTATTCACCTAACTTTCCATTAAAATGAGTGGATCTAAATTTGTCATGGCCATGAATTTCAATGGGTCTGTTCTGAGAATGAGGTTCTATTCACCTATCTCCATTACACCCATTATGTTACAGCCGTAGCATTCCCTCTGCAAAATTATATGTCTATAACCCCATCCTTCATATGTCCTCCACTTTCTAAGGAACTGCCACTAGAGTCCCTGTTGTATCCTGGAGGAAAGGTTATGGAACACCTGTTATTTTCTAGAGTTGAATGCTCTCATGATCTTGGGGTATATGTGTAAATAGATAAATAAAATTACCCATCCATTCATCCATAGTTTTCAGGTGAAACAGTTCCTAGAGTGGTTTGCTTAAGATTTTTAAAAATAGGCATTCCCTTCATTTAATCCAAAAGATATGCCACAAATGGGAGGGGAGGGATGAGGCAGGAACAGTAAAACACGGAAACCTGGGATTCAGTCCTTATGATGTAAATCTAACAGTCTGGAATCAAAACTGTTCAAGGAGAGAGAAGTCAAATGGATCTGGTTTTTCAGCAGAGCCAAAGAAATGGCCCAGCTCCCTTTCCTTCTGCTGCAGCCTGATGGAATGACTGCTGCCAGGTGACCCCTGTCATTCAAGTGATTACCTACATGTATATCTTTACTGGGTGGTCCCGGTAACAAAAGTAAGCCCAAATCATCTACCCTGACTACGAATAGATCCCTGGACTTTTATCTTGTAGCAAACTCTG